ATACCATCGAATAGCAAATTCATACTACTAGGCTTCCATCATAGTTTTCAGTAGTGAAAAAGACGAATGAGCATTTTGAATCTTTATCGACGATTATTATAAGTGCTTATGGGCCACAGCATCCACTTACAGTCGAGTGAACTTTCGTTTTAACCATTTTGTTCGCAATAAATAGTTGTATCGCAACGTGCGATAATGAAACTTGATGGATGAAATTAATCCAAATCCGTTTTCGAAGCGTGAACCCCCAATTTTACCTTTGAACTATTCATACGCTGCTGGTTTGAACATGAACAAGACATTGTCTTTCAAATTCACACGGACGCAGCTCCGAAATAGTATGAAACTTCGTTTACTGCTTTCATTAATAAGTTTTAAGACGATAATACATCTGTTTACTTTTTAAGTAGGTTAGACGTTCAAATAGCAATATATTTATGAAAATGTAATATATGTACATAAAAACATAAATAGCTTTAATAAGAATAAGGATGTTTATACCTTAAACACTAGGAACAAACATAAGCTTGTAATGCCAGTTACTAGACTCCACAGAATTAGTAATTCATTTATGGGGCATCGTATATGCTTTTACAACAAAATCCCAGAACATTTTCAAAGTTTGTCAATAAACAAGTTTAAAATTTTATTAAAGAAAATTGTACAAAAAGGGTTATTATTATATCAAGGAATACATTAATGAAAATAACCCCTGCTAATAAGGTGATCGCCACCATGCTGGTTCTATGAAAATTCGTTTAAAAATTGTATAAACAAATTTATTGCTAAGTGAAATTATGTTTAAAAAAATGTCCCGCTGGGTTTCTTACTGGTTCTTCCCAGGACAGAGGTATTTTCCGAACCAGTGGTAAATAAAAAAATGACCTTCAATAAGTATTATGTAATAATCAATATTGAATAAAAATCATTCTATTCTATTCTATTCTAATACTGAACAATTCGATGATACTCATATACAAGAAAAATTTTTTGTTTCCATCGCAGCCGATATTCGATCAAGTTAACTTGCATAGTATTTTTTGTCAAACGACTTAAACAAGGAGGAGGATAGTTACCAATTCGTCGCAATCTTTTTTTATGTACAAAGGTTGAAGACTCGTTATGTCAAGCACTCGTAGTGTTTAGATTCATAACATTTTGATTCATAATCGAGGATAAATGTAGATCTCTATGGGCCTCAGCAACCAATTACCATCAGGTGGACTGTGTGCACGTTTTTCACCCTTATCCTATATAAAAAAAGAAGGAGTGAAGACCTGATGTAATAGCAGGTAGTCTATGGATATAGGCAGCTTGGTTGCTTGCTTATTTTATAGCAATATATAAGACGTGGGAGGCTCATTTTTTTTATTGTAACAGAATCTACAGCTTGTACATTTAACAATATATAAACAAGAGAACATTTTATGTTATATAGAAGCCTTTATAGATTTACATTTTTTTTGCATAAATTTTAATTTTTTTTTGTCTTCAGCAATGTTAACAAATAGTATACAGCGTATAGCAAAATAGGTCAATTTCTATATAATAATAATAATTTAGTTATTTAGTAAGTTAAACAAGTACAGAAATATAAATAAGAAATAAAAAAAAATATTTAATAAAATATTTTAAGCGCTTGTTTTGTGTGTGTGTGTGTGTGTGTGTGTGTGTGTGTGTGTGTGTGTGTATGCGTGGGTGTGGGGGGGTGCGTGTGTGCGTGCGTGGGTGTGGGTTTGTGTGTGTGTGTGTGTGTGTGTTTGTGATATAATAATTTGTATGTGTATGTGTGTCGCAACTTCAACCTAGTAAGCAAATTAATTCAAATTATTAGTCAAACCATCTGCCAAGATCTCAGAGACAGCTTTTTTGAATTTCGTCTTGGTCATGCAAAAAGGGTCAACGCTAGAGAAGTATTTATTATATTTTCTTAGTATCCTATTTGAAACGGAGTTCTTTGCATAGTTTGTGTAAGTTGATGGTACATAAAATAATTCCGTAACTCTGGTACGTCTCTTTGGGGTACGAAAACTCATAAGCTGCTGGGTCAATTGTGGGCAGTCTAGGGCGCCAGTACAAACCTCGTATAGCAGCATCATGTCAGCTTTACATCTACGATCTTGTAATGTTAATAATTTGTAATGCAGACAAGAGCTATGATAGTCTTCGCTCTTGCGCCTGCCACGGTAATTAAGGTGTCGCAGGAATCTACTCTGTATACCCTCTATAGCTGCGATATATTTTTTATATTGGGGATTCCAACTAGTAGAGCAATACTCCAACACGCTGCGAACAAATGCAAAATAAAGTGCTTTAATTCAACTTAAATCGTTAAAAGGTTTGGTGATACGCGTGATGAATCCAAGATTTTTGTAGACTTTCGTGGTTATTAATGTAATGTGTTCTGAAAAGGTTAGTTTGCTGTCTAAGGTCACTCCCAAGTCTTTAACGCTGTTTGTTTTTGATATGAGATAGCTGTCAATGTGGTAAAAATATTGTATAGGTTTTATTTTACGAGTAAACGAGATTGATATATATTTGTCAATATTAGCTGTTATGCGGTTATTTTGTAGTAAAGAGCTAGCCTGTTTAAATCTTCCTGGAGGAGCTAACAATCCTTTTCTGACTTTATATTCATATATATTTTCTTGTCGTCTGCATACAAAAGAAATTTAGCGTGTTGTAAACATTTTCCTATATCATACAGGTAAGCTATATACAGGAGAGGACCAAGCAGAGATCCCTGCGGGACACCTGAACGGACGTTTATATAATCAGATCTGTAAACACTTATGATCACAGCTTGGCTGCTATTAAAAATATATGCTTGGAAACATCTTAATAAATCACCGCAAATCCCGAGTGCTTGTAGTTTTTGAAGCAGGATGACATGATCCACACGATCGAATGCTTTTTCGAAGTCCGTATAGATCACGTCTACCTGCAAGCCTCCATCCATCCCACGAAAGATGTCGTCCATAAAGAGGGATAGATTGGTAGTTGTCGAACGACCTTTAACGAAGCCGTGTTGTTCGGGTGGAATGGAAGTGATTAATATTGGATATACGTTGTTATATACTATTTTCTCTAAAACTTTACTAAAAGTATTTAATATTGAAATTGGTCTGTAGTTTTCGATTTTGTTTTCCTGTCCTTTTTTGTGTATGGGTACTATATGTGCTTGCTTCCATAATAATGGAAGGCTTCCTTCTTTTAAAGATCTATTATATAAGATTCGCAGGGGCACACAGAGTGAAGCGGCGCAATTGACTATAAAAACTGGTGGTATTTTGTCTGAGCCAGATCCTTTAGTCAAGTCTAAACTTTTAAGGTGTTTGTGCACCAACTCATCTATTACCTGAATGTCGCTTATGATATTAGTAGATGATAGACATTTTCTTGAGGTATTAGTGTATGTTGAAGCAGGCTCGTTGAACATTTTTCTAAAGAAATCTGCAAACGCCATGCTTATGTCTTGGCCACACTGCAGAGTGTTGTTGCCATATTGCATATATTTAGGATAGCCCGAACTTCTGTGACGTTTATTTTTAATGTAAGACCAAACAGCTTTGGGATTTGATTTAATATTGTATTCAGATTTTTTTATATAGGCCTTATGAAGTTCTTTAGCAATTTTTTTTGATCTGGTACGCAAAAGTGCAAAGGCATCATAGTCGATTGGATTATGATGGAGCTTCCAATAAGTGTGAAGTTTATTTTTTTCCTTTATGATGTTGATGAGAGCTTTATTATACCAAACAGGATACTGTTGCTTAGCTCTTTGGAACACACATGGGACGAACTTATTAATTAGGTCATATATTAGACTGTAGAAACACGATACAGCGTCCTCTAGTGACCCTACACTAAGTGTATCCTGCCAGTTTGTTTCCTCTAAATGCTTACAGATTTTCGGATAACCTGCCTTGTGAGAGTGGGATGAAAAACATCTTCCTGTACGAGCGGCATAATCGATTTACTAACCTCTACAATAAAGTTGGTAAATATCAGATCAAGAATATTATTGTGAGTGTTTACATGTAAGTTGTGCTGGTGGAGACCAAGAATCTGATTTAGTTAGTTCTCTGCAGAGTCTTTCAAATTGGTACTGCTCTTTTTCAATAGTGTGTGGCCATCCGATGTCCATTGAACACAAGGAATATTGAAATCGCCACATATCAAAAACAAATCTTCTGGATTTGAGGACATAACAAAAGACAATAAAGCAGTGAAACTTTGTAAACGTTGAGGCAACATGCTGTCTGGACGTAGGCAAATTGCGCAAATGTGTAAATTATGACTAGTGCCAAGGTCTCTCGCATCTATCGTAATCCAGAGACATTCAAGATTATCATGAGACCAATCGGGTTGAACCTTTGCAGAAAACCGTTCCGCAGTCAGAACTATAACGCCGCCACCACGTCTATTGCCGCCGCGATCCCGGCGAAAGATATTGTACCTACAGTCGGAGAGCTCCGCATCAAGAATGCCGTCGTGCAACCACGATTCTGTAACTATTATTATGTCACTATTATTGTTCGAGATGTTGTTGTAAAACTCCTGTGTTTTTGTTCTTAGACCCCTTACATTTTGGTATTGCAGATTCAAACTATTTGGTTTAATTTTATTGTATGTGAATTGTGAACTTAATACATTTATGTAGTACATACAGTTTTGTTATGTGATATTTGTAAGTAAGCATAATATATAAAGTGTGCTTATTAGAGTTGCAACTAGTGAATTGTGTATATGTCAGTGATACGTATAATATGTTTTGACATGGTTTAATGAACAAGGTGTTGTAATGTAGGGTAAGCTTATTGTTAGTATAAGGAGGGTAGTTTGTGACCTCTCTCTCTCTCGCAATAAATGGTTGAACTGTGTGGACGTGTTTTCCTTTGTCTCACTGGCGACGAGGATTTTAATGGAGAAAATCGGCGAAAAATACGTGAAAATAGAAAATACGGAAAATTTAGACTGCGAACAATCAGCGTGCAAAAATGTCGGTCGGAAAAATTAGTGAGTTTGACGTGAAAACCGGTAACTGGACTGCTTACGTGGAGCGGCTAGAAATGTATTTTGTGGCAAATTCAGTGAAGGACGAAATTAAATTGCCTACCTTGATCGCGGCTATGGGTGAAAGTGCGTATGAACTGTTATCCACCCTCGCGAGTCCTAAGAAACCCGCGGAACTTACGTATTTGGATGCAGTTGTACTATTACGTAATCACTTGCAACCGAAACCATCTCCGATGGCGGAACGTTATCGTTTTAGGCAAAGAAGACAAACAGACACTGAATCGATCAGTGATTACGTGGCGGCATTAAAGAAACTATCTAGACATTGTGAATTCGGTGCAGTCCTACAGGACAATTTACGGGATCAGTTGGTGTGCGGACTTCGAAGTGACGTCATACGGCAGAGATTATTCGCGGAAGAAAAATTATTGTCCTATGACAAGGCAGTGATTTTAGCGGGATCGCTGGAGGCAGCGGAGCGGGACGCGGCGCTCGTGGAGTCGGGCGCAGCGGTGACGTCATCGCAGGCCGCGGGTCAGCTGCGCGGCGAAGGCGGCGGCAGGGCAAACGGGGGGCTGAACGCCATGCGCGTCTGCCAGCGAGCCCGCCATACCTGGCACAGCGCAGTGGCAGGAAGCGGTGGCGGCGGCGTCGGCGCAGGCCGCGCGGATGTGCGTGGTTCGCTATGCGGAGCTTGCGGAGGTGTTGACCATGTTGCCAACGAGTGCAAGTTCAGAACCTACATATGCAGCAAGTGTGGCGTGATGGGCCACCTACGACGCGTGTGTTTCACAAATAACCAGTCGGTGGCGCCGGGCGCCTACAACGGGAACGCGGCGAATGTACAGGGCTTTGGAAAGAAAAGCCGGAACAACGGTCGCGGAGGACATAATCAGAGACTGAAAACAAATTATGTCAATGCAGACGATGGGGCGACATTGAGTGAGTACCACTAGACACCCGAGGAGAACCGGTAATGCAAATGTCGCTGTCACAGTACAAGCCGGTGAGTTTGTGTTTATTAGTGAGTGGACATAACTTAAACATGGAAATAGACACTGGCTCGGCGTTGTCGTGTATTAGTAAAACCACGTATGAAGATACATTTAATCATTTACCATTATTACCATGTGATTTAGCACTAACCTTTTATGATGGAACAAAAATAAAGCCATTAGGTTACTGCGAGGTTAATGTGAGATATGGGCGGTCTAGCAAAGTTTTAGACTTATATGTTATTAATAACAGTACTACTACTTTATTAGGCAGACAGTGGTTGTCAGAACTTGATATCAGCGTACCAAAATTTAATGTAAACAGGTTAAACGAATCAGCCATGAATGTATCTTATGCCGTAAATGAATTGTTTTCCAGCTATGCTGAGTTGTTCGACGGCGGGCTGGGGCGCTTCACGGGTGGGCGGGCTCGGCTGGAGTTGCGCGCGGACGCGGCCCCGGTGTTCTGCCGCGCGCGGCCGCTGCCCTACGCGCTGCGGGAGCGCGTGGACGCCGAGCTTGACGCCATGCTGCACGCGGGCGTCATTGAGCCCGTCGAGTGCTCGGACTGGGCGACTCCTCTCGTTATTATCAATAAATCGGATGGATCTATTCGAATATGCGCAGATTACAAGGTAACCCTCAATCGTGTCTTATCTGTCGACATGTACCCAGTGCCTAAAATTGGCGACTTATTGTCGCAATTAGGGGGAAGTAAATTTTTCAGCAAAATAGACTTATCACAGGCATACAATCAGATCAAGCTTGACGATACCAAAAAGTACACAGTAATTAACACCCATCGCGGTTTGTTTATGTACAACAGACTTGTTTTCGGCTTAGCATCCAGTTCGGGAATTTTTCAAAGAATAATGGTTAACTTGTTAAAAGATATCGAGGGGGTCGTAGTATTTTTGGATGACGTTTTGATCGCTTCGGACACTATCGAAAACCATATACATACTTTACGTAAAGTGCTATATAAATTGAAAGAGTACGGTCTTAAATTAAAAAGGGAAAAATGTGAATTTTTTGTAGCAAAAGTGAAATATTTGGGTTATGTAATAAATAAAGAGGGAATCCACCCCGATCCTGACAAGATAGAATCGATTTTGTTGATGTCACCACCCAAAGATATTTCGGAACTTCGGTCATATAGCCGTTTCGTGACCAATTTGAGTACCATTTTACAGCCACTTTACGGACTACTAAAAAAAGACTCGACATGGAAATGGGGTAGATTAGAACAGCAGGCTTTCACTGTAGTTAAGAGACGTTTGAGTGACGCGGTCGCGCTGAGCCACTACGAGCCGGGCGCGCCGCTAGTGGTGACGTGTGATGCCAGCGCGCGCGGGCTCGGCGCCGTGCTGGCGCAGCGCACGCTCACCGCCGCTGAATGCAACTACAGTCAGATACAAAAAAGGCGTTTTTTTTTTATATAGGATTAGGGTGACAAACGAGCACACAGTCCACCTGATGGTAAGTGGTAGCTGCGGCCCATAGGCATCTACATCTATCCTCGTTTGCGAATCAAAATGCAGATGCGTTGTCACCCGTGAGGACTAAGATGGAATGCCTCATTTCCAGTAAAATGGGCCGTTAGCTATTGTATTTGCTGTGAAAAAGTTTCACCAGTATATTTACGGGCGACGGTTTACATTGCGGACGGATCATAAACCGTTAGTCACAATATTCGATCCACACCAAGGTATTCCTAGCATGACGGCCAGTAGATTACAGAGATGGGCTTTAATATTAACAGCTTACGATTTCGTCCGAATACGTCTCAACTAATGATAATGTGGCGGATGCATTGTCGCGAATGATTTCTACCCATAAAGAGAGTAGGTCTGAGGAAAATCGAGAATTTCCGGAACAAACTTATGTACATTTCGCGTCAGAGGCCTTATTAATAGACAATAATAGTTTAAAGCGCGAAACCGCGAGGGACGCGATACTCGGGCGGGTCCTCGGTTATATACGGGACGGCTGGCCGCAAGATATCGAAATAAAAGATATCAAACCATACTTTCACAGACAGAAAGAGTTATACGAGGAACTGGGGTACGTCATGTGGGGTCACAGAGTAGTGGTACCTTCTAGTTGCAGGGAGAAAGTTCTCGCGGAGTTACATGAGGCTCAGATGGGGATCACCAAGACGAAACAGTTCGCTCGCAGCTACGTGTGGTGGCTGGGGATCGACGAGGCGGTGGAGGCCGTGTGCAGCGCCTGCTCGGTGTGCGCGCGCGTGGCGGACGCGCCGGAGCGACACGAGCCGCGCCCGTGGCTGTGGCCAGAGCGCCCGTGGTCCCGACTGCATCTCGATTTTTTAGGGCCGATAGGGAGCGCTACTTACTTAGTCACCGTAGACGCTCATTCTAAATGGGTCGAAGTCACTGCTATGAGTTCCATTTCGGCAAAAAATTTAATAAGCAAATTAAGGGAAATGTGGGCTTGATTCGGTCTGCCAAGACAGATAGTGAGTGACAACGGTCCGCCATTTACTAGTCAGGAATTTCAGTTATTTCTTAAGGATAACGGTATAGAACACATATTTTCAGCACCCTATCACCCGGCTTCGAATGGCACAGCTGAGAATGCGGTTAGAATGAGCAAGCGGGTTATAAAGAAGGCACTGGTACAACTGGTCTAACGACGACAGGCCGTGTCGACGGCGCGTTTTGTCCCACGCGCGCCTCAAAGAGCTGTCAGCAGCGTGAAGGCCCGCAAGGGCCGACGCCTGCCGGGGCTGCGGGCTGTTCGAAAGAGATACCGCGGCTCCGGAACGTAAGGGCACTGAAGGAACACGGATGGTTTTTAGTCAGTAAAAGTCTGACACTCCCTTCCGCTCCACCCAGAGCGAAAGGCGTCATTTGATGATTTTCCATCCGCAAAAAAAAAAAGGGTGTGAATATCGATATCGCGCTTAATAGGTTTCTACTCGTATATCGTAACACCGAACACTGTACTACCGGTGTGAGCCCCGCGAAATTATTACAAGGTCATTCACTGCGCACACGCCTCGACTGTCTGAAGCCGGAGCTGGGGCCCCGCGTGCGGCGCGAGCAGGCGCGGCAGGCGCGCGCCACGGGCGGCAGTCGCCGGCAGTTCGCGCCGGGAGACCGCGTATGGTACCGCGATTATCGTAACTCGGTTGTAAAATGGTTAAAAGGAGAAGTACAAGTAGGAGAAACGGACTATAATATTCTAGGGGCTGATAAAGTCTTTATTCATAGACATGTCGACCAGATAAGGCCACAATCGGGGGAGCCGGATAGGGAAGGGGAAGACCGGGATGTTTCAGAAGGAGGAAGAGGTTCATTATCACGTTCCTATCTAGTGTATCCGAATGGCTCCTCTCCAGTGGTGGAGGAAGAGGCGAGTTCGAGTGGCAGAGAGGCCGCGGCCGGGTCCGCGCCCGCCGCGACGTCCCTGCGCCCCCCGCTCGCCCCGCAGCCGGCGCCCGCGGCTCCGAGCCCGGCGTGGGAGCGCCCCAACCCGCCTAGAACTCGTAGGGCCCCGCGACGTTATGGATTTGATTTTGATTAGTTGTAAGTTAGTTAAGTGATATGTGCTTTATTTTATATTAGTTAAGTACGTTTATAATAAGGGTGAAGGTGTAATGTAGGGTAAGCTTATTGTTAGTATAAGGAAGGTAGTTTGTGACCTCTCTCTCTCTCTCTCTCTCTCGCAATAAATGGTTGAACTCTACGGACGTGTCTTCCTTTGTCTCAGGTGTGTGTGTGTAGTTTATGTGTATGTGTATGTTTAGATAAAGTTTTAATTTTAAGACTACAAAAATACAAAAAGCTAACAAACCAAAAGATAATTAACGATGTAGATATATGTAGTTGGTTTAATAAACTAAGTGAGACTACACAATTTTTTTCAAATCTGAAGCTGTGGAGATTAACAGTGGAGGTGAGCTGTCGTTGCGTCGTACGTAAATCCGACAGTTTTTTGTCCATATGTAACGATAAGCAGATTCTTTGGCATTTGCTTTTGCTTCAAGGAGAAGTTTTTTGTTACGTGGTGTTAGGTGTTCGTTCACATAGATGACTTTGGGGTCGCCAGTGGCCAATATATCTTTAGTCGATAAGTTCCTACATTTTCGCACTGCAGACAGAAATGTGTCTTTATTGAGGCGCGATTTGAAGCGCGCGATGATCGTGCGCGGTTGGTTGTTGGATGATCGCTGTGGTTTAACTCTGTGAGCGAAATCTACATCAGCTTCTAGTAATTTGTGGCCAGCCTTTTCTGCTATTTTTGTAAGAATGTATATGAGACATTCTTTGCTTTTTTCTGGTACTCCTACAATTTCCACGTTTTGTTGACAGACCCACTGTTCTTGCTTAGCAAAATCGTGCTCGATTGTCGAGATCTTTTTCTGCATGTCCTTAAAATCGCTGCGGAGAGAGGAGTTTTCTGTTTTAAGCACTTGGTATCCTCAGATGCTACGGATATGGATTTCATTATATCATCGTACTTATCACCGATATATTTTATTGATTTTTCTAGTTCACTGATGTTATCCCTAATAGCTCGGAATTCTTTGCAGATTAGATCTTTAATAATACTAGGCACTTCATTCCTAATTATTTCCAATATATCTTTGCGCATTTTGTTAGCAAACTCTGAGTCGAAGGGATTTAAACAGTCCGGAGAATGCGGACGACGACGTCGAGTCATTACGTAACCATCCCTGCTTTCTGCTCCATCCTCGTCATCCGAACACTGCATAACCCTTACAGGTGTATCGCTATTGTTTCCCTTCCGTTGTTTGGCCTTGCAACTAGGGCACTTCCAGGATACATTTTTTTAAGTTGTCAGCCTTTAATCCCACACACAGATAATGTTATTATATATACACGTATATATAAGATAATATATTACACGTTGTTTGGGTGCACATTATACTTTCTGTGGTTTTTACTTTCATTTTGCATGCATTGCAATTGCTC